GACGGCACTGAGTGTGAGCTCTTTCAAGACCAGACTTGACCAACACTGGAACAGGTTCAAGTACATTCAGGAGCTGGTGCATGCCCAGTACTTGCCAACAGTGCATAACAGAGACATGACCGATCGCCCAAGCAACTAATGAGCCGATCAGTGGTGAAGATGATGAAAGCAAAAGCATAAGCCTGATTTTCATAAGCCCATGTGTACAGCAACTGATTTAAATGAATATTTATGTACAGGCATGTAATGGCACCTTTCGGCATGCCTTGAGTTGCCAATGCCTCGTATATAACTGCATGCACAGGAGAGTCACTTTCTGACACTCCCTCATCGTATCTCAGGTATGTAACGAGTGCCTCACGCCCGCCATATTAAGTGAATTTAACTTGGTTGAACTTTGTTGAATATCAATTTTGATGATTTAACATATAGTCACCATTTTCACCATGTCAATTTTAAAATGATGACTGTTGGCAGGAAAGGAGAAAAATATTGTATGTTTGTATTACAGAAAGTCTGAATATGAGTACTGTATACAGTATTAAAAACAATGGAAAAATAAAAAGACCTGAGCATAGTAGTTAAAAGCAAATTCTTGCTTGAAGATCATAAGAATTAAAAGTTAACAAGGCATACCAAATTATGGGTGTGATCCTTATACAGTACTGTACAGTACATGGAAAACTTCACACTCATACAACACCATGGTCCTCCCACACTTCGAGTACGTGAGTGCAGTATAGAGTATGGCATCCCTTCAAGATGAAATACTGTACTGTACATCAATGTTCTGTAGTCGAATATATTTAGATAGGGGTAACGAAATCGGTTCCTGAGCTAATGAACTTGAGTGATATAAACTGCACTGCAGAGTCTGAGGGATGGTACAAGAAAATATATTTTGAGAAAGCTGCCCCAGACTAAGGCCACATAATAGCATTACCAGAGGTCCCAGATTTAAGGCAAGAGCTTCTCAGGTGTATTGTGGTCTTATTGAAAAGCTAACCGGATAAGTACTGTAGATCAATAGCGTATGCTGTGTACAATGTTACAGAACCTTTGTACACTTGCTCTAGTATTGATTAGTCTCATAAATTGGTTATAATCTGTAAGCACAGGCCTGATGCTTTCATTCACTTTTAGATAACCATTGGTGGGAAGAATAAGAAGTTTTGGCGATTCATTACATGGCACATAAGGTGGAGTAAATAATAATGTAAATTATTTGATAGATTGTTCTTTAACTTTTAGGGACTAGGAGCTTTGGTGGATCACCTGATGGTTATCACCCTAGTTTTGTCTATCTCACTTGATGAGTAGTACCCCCAGCTTAATAACATGATGATTAGCCACAAGCTTATTTTTCCTGATGATTAAAAAACCCTAAAGATACCCAAGAGGGTGGAGTAGGTTAGGTTAGATTTGATAAGGGTGTTAGGTTAGCACTACAGTGGTTAATCTTCACGTGAAATAAGCCAGGGGCTAAATCTAAGATGATTTGCTTCCCGCTTTGGTACTTAAATAATGTATGTTATGTGTTAAGCCACCTTGTTCTTTATCCCTTTTTAAGTTTTCAGTTTGGTAATACGAGTTCTCAGTTCTTTTCTCAAAATTTAAGGAATGGAAGGCTTCAGTGCTTACAGTATCTACATTAGTAAGTACAGTAGGTGATTTGAACTGATAAGTTTGCCAGTATTGTTTTTATTCAAAGAGTTCACAATTCTCACTTCAAAAAATGTAACTCCGAGTCTTGGGCAGTTTTCCAAATTTGTGGCTTCTTTAACACAAGGCAGTGATCTCTAGTGCAGCCGGCATCTGCTAGCTCCAAATATGAACACTCGATTGAGTAATGTCTTCCGAGGTGCTTGTATTCTTCTATTAAATCACGTATTGCCCATCTATACTCTATAGTACTATACACTAGGTAAAAAAAACTATCTTTACAATTCTTGTGTGAAACAAAGTGACACCACGAACAAAGGTTTTTGATAAAGGCCCATGAGGCGTACTGTTATTCACAAATCATATTGCAACGAACTAATTTTATGTTTCAAATAAAGTAACTAAATCAGGCTTACCAAAATAGGTAGGGAATGTCTCACAATCACCCCTACCAACCCTAGCGAAATACCACCATTGTTCAATTCGAAATCCATCAGATCCCTCCTTAAAGATACTTTTTTTTATGGAGTGTACATACTTCACTTCAACGATTCATCATAATAACAACAGTACAGTGACCCCTCCGTTAACGAACTCAATCCGTTCCAGAAGGTCTTTCGTTAACCAAAAAGTTTGTTAACCGAAACCATTGTTTCAATGGGTTTTGGGTAATTGGTTCCAGCTCACCGAAAATTGCCTAAATTCAACAAAAATGGTAGAAAAGTCACTTACTTTGAGGTGTGTATGTAGAAGGCTCCTGGATGATGATGATGGGATTTAGAATGAGGGTGGAGGAGAAGGAAGAAGAGAAGGCATTGGGGGGAAGAGAAGTCACCCCATGGCGCCATTTCACCCATAAAATTTTAGCTCTCTGGTGTAATTCAAGATTATTTTCTTTAAATCAACACTGCACTGCATTATATATTGTCAATATGTAAAATATATTTCAAAATGACCAATAAATTGCTTGGAAACACAGAAAAAAGCGTTTAGTTGAAGAGAGTCTCAAGCAAGATGTTACCTCCAGTGAAAACAGAGACTAACGCCTGTTTGCTGTGTTAAGAGGCTGGATGCCGCGCATTAAACTAGTCACTTTACCTTCAATTATGTTCAATAATTGTTAAAATGACTAAAAAATTGAATATTAAACTTTTAAAATTATTGAATAGTATAAACTTCTTGTTATTTACTAAAATAGTAAGGAATTTAAGCCCTAGAACCGATTAATGTATTGGCGGACTGATACTAAAGCTGGTTGCTCGATCAGTGCAAGCGAAAACATGTTGAGGTCGGTTTGTAAGAACTTCGTTAACCGAATTGAAGATCCTTATGGAAGGCAGTTCGTTAATCGAAATTACGTTAACTGAGGTGTTCGTTTAACGAGGGGTCACTGTACTGCCATGTGACACCTCAACAAATTAATGTTACATTTCAACACAATAATGATCAGTAAAGCAAGTTGATAGTCACTCTGGGCGGCCATCTTGATGACGTCAGCGAGCAGGGTGGTTTGTTTGGTCAGAGCGGGTGAGACTGAAGGATCAGTTGGTGGTGGTGCTGGGGAAGCAGGGCAGTGTGGGGGCAAAGACATAGGGGGCAATAAAAAACCACTCCCCTGCCTCAGATGACAGTAAACAGTCTCATTTTGCAGTTTAATGAGTGTCTAAAGGTTAGTTATTAATAGTTATTAACTCTTGATGCAGTATTAATGTGTGAGAATAAGTGGTTGTAATTTTTTGTAGGGGTAATAGGGGGTGAAAATGTCCGAGGGCTGGTACCAATTGACCTATTTAACATGTAAACTATACTCACCACGTTAACGACAGTTTTCGTGGTACCAATTAGTCGTTAAGACGGAGTATTTAGGGAAAAACTTTTGTGTATTTTCCTCCCATAGCCATTTTTTTTAAATAATATATACTGTGTACCAAGAAATGTGAGGATTAAATAAAAATAATAGCAATTAATAAGTTACAACAAAATTACTGTATAAATCAATAAATAAAAGCCAAATGAAAGTTTACACAGTCACCATTTGTATTCACTCTGTTTCACCATAGTAATGAAGATCAACTGGGACCCCGATTCCCTAGCAACGCTCCCCCCCCCCACACACACACACACACACACACTGTGATCATCCTCCTGCTCCCTCACTGAGCCAGCTAACTTGTGTGCATATAAATGTATATTCCCTTATATGTTTGCATTTAGGACACTTATTTCTTCTACTTTTTTCATTTGTATGTAGGATGGTGTGTGCATGTAACTGAGTGAAAATAAATGAAGAAAGTTACGTATATCTACTCTTAAATACAAGTTGAAAAACAACCATGACACCTCACAGCTTGGCCCAGTAGCCTGGTGGTTACAGTGACGAGTCTAACCTGGCTACAATGCCATAATTAATCACTGTTATAACAGTAAACACAAATAATAACAATAAATCAAGTGAAATATGGCAGGGAGGGAGGAGCTTTACAAGAGCAGACGACACTCTGACTATTGGTCAGTCACTCGCTCCTGTTGCCAGGAGTACAACCAAAATACTGTACATATCTTGTACAGGTAGTCTAATTTGAAAACGGTAACTAGCACAGTGATAAACAAATTATGTAAACCATGCATTTACCTCCGATAACATAATATTGTATCATTACCAGAGTGAATGAAATAATATCCCCCAAAACAACAATTGATAACTCTCGGGCACCTGTATCCCACGTGCTGATGGCTTGGTCCCTTGAAATTTTGACTCAAGGTGAACATGTCATCTGACGAAATATTTTGTGCTACTTTTTTTTTTTTAATTTTTTACTTATTTTTTGGCAAATAATTTTGTCTGGTTTAAGCGATATCCTCCTTAACGAGGTTTTACTGTACTTGTTATGAATGTAAAGGTTAAGTTGGGTTAGAGTTTGAGGGCCCTGAGGACCCTGCACCTAGTAAGCTTACCCCAACCAACATGTTCCTCCAGCCTTGGGGAGGAATGCCGGCTCAACGATTCAACACAGGTAAAACCTGTAGCATGCTCAATTTATGCTTACATTCTTTATCTAATGCTTATTATGATTGATTCATATGTCTGGTTTATTATCCTGCTTGTCAGTGTGCACGACATTCATTGCTTCGATAACCCTTTGATTCACTAACCAACGACTTTTCATTGTCCCTTTATGTGTCGGATATCGGGGTTTACCTGTACCTCAACTTTGACAATGATATATGCTCTGTTAATAAGATAAGAACAATATCTACTAAAAGAACACACAAAGAACAATGTTAAAAATTACTGACAATTTCTCTCTCTAATAAGTATGGTTAGTGAAATGTAGAAAGAAAGTTACAATTATTTTTTAATAAATATAGTGTAGTAAGAACAGGTACTTCCCAAACATAACATATATAATACATGCATGGATGTCTTTACTCTATGAATCCCAATACAATATCGTTAAGAATACCTTTCAGAATAAACAATAATGAATACATAGCTTACTGCCTTGCAAGTAATGATTTAAATGACAGCAGCCTGGAATAAATGAACAAAAAAAAATTAAACACTATCCTATTCAAAATAATAATACAGCCATTAAATTATCAATTGTGATGATGAACCATAAAGTACTCTTATAATATCTGACAAACTGAGGCCAAGCTTTTCATGACATTAATAAAAGCTACTTTTAATGGGAAAAAAATTGCATAGCCAACCCACTTTAAATGGGATATACAGTATGTCTTTTGCTTTTATAAATACAGTATATACAACATTATATAATTATACAATCTATTTATTACATGAAACTCTAAAGAAAGATATCCACATTAGCTATCATCTTCTGTAAGTCCTAAACTAAATTTCCTAACTTGTTCTAGACTCTGCAATACTGGCACTAAATTTTGAGACAGTTTTATTTCTTGACCTCCCCAATTTATGTGAGTGGGAGGTTTTTCTTCGCTGTTTCCAAAAATGAAGTGTGTCGAGAGTTGAATAGATAACTGGGATCTGACGAGTCCCACTCCTCCTACACATTCAGAAGCAGGGTGATATACTCGTCCAGTCTCAACTTGCATGCATAATTCAGATGGCTGGAATGGAAGGGTCATCACTTCACCTGCATTGCCATATGCCAGGTGCTCTTCTGATCCTAAAGAAGTATTCTTCATCACCTGGAAAATATTCATGTACAGTATTGTAATCTAATTTAATCTCAATTCTATAATTTCATATACAGGGAGTCCATGTTATTCATATATCCGCTATTCGTATATTTGCCTATACTTGCAGCAATTTTTAGTAGCAAAAATTTTTTTTATTTGTTTGGCAAACACAAGTATACTGTACTGTATGTATACAGTAATCCCGGGTTATTCAAATATTTCACTTTCATACCTTCGAAAATTCGAGGGAGGCAATAAAATATTAATATCTACTATGCAATACCGTACTGTACAGTAATTTGAAATATCTGCTTGGACATGACATGTAGGGGAACTATGTTTTGATCTACTGTCTTTGTTTGATATTTATTTTATTCAACCTTTGAAAACTTATTTAATGAAACATACAGTATAGTATTAAGAATATTAATGCTTTTCTAAGAAATGAAACATTAAAGACATATTTAAAGTTTTTACACTGAAGGCAATGGGGATACACTATAGTACAACAGGTCTGTTACACAAATGACCCAAGAGGATTAGAATAAAGTAAACAATCCATAATTCACCAATATAAAGTGTTATCTAACACATATTGTCCTTAATTGGTTATTTGTTGGCTAAAATACAAGTTGATTGTATTGAAAACTGTTATGCGTGACTTCATATCAAAATTATTTCTCCTCTTTTTCACTTTTTACTTGTTTCGTGTGAAAGAGCAATCAATTGTACTTAGGGGTATAAGAAAAATGAACCAGTTGCCAAAAAATCTATCCGAAGAAAAATAGATACAGCATGGTTCTTCCCTGTAAGAAGGTCACAACTAGCCTGTGAGTTGGAGGGGTACTCGTTATAAATACTGTAAGGCGAGTGTTAACGTGACACATTTTGTTTTGGATCGCATGGATATTAAGCAGACTTACTTTTAATAGATCTTTGAACAAGTAAAGTCAGTCTTTTCAATTACATAATACAGTAACCATAAATAAATACAAAAATGAAAAACATCAAGAGTGAGAAACAATATATGTATGCTGTGTTGTCAAAGTAAGAATAACAATTGAGACCCTGCAATTGTGTGTAAATGAGGCAGAAAGTTGGATTAGCAACCTGGGACACTTGGTCAAAATTTTTGTGATGCCATATGGCAGCAGGGTCTACCATTAGACAAACCCTTATGCTTCCAATATCTTTCCAGGTAGTAGTACCTCTCTGTTTGATAGCTGCCCCATTGTTGGTCAATAGTCATGGAGGACCAGGTCCACTGATTCACTCAGTGAGAGAGGTAAACACTACATCAAAGGGGATCTTCAGACTCAATATAATTAGGTGAGTAACTGTATTTACCACATAGCTACTGCTTTTATGATCAGTACATAATAAGTCGAGCTCCCTCAGTGATGCCTGTGACCTTAATTAAAGGTATTCCATATAAATGAGGTAACTAATTTTTGGATTCAACATTTATCATTAAGATTAAGCCAAGAAAAACACCAGAGGCTACTTTAGTTGCTTCAGGCACATAATATGTGATACACCATTGAACACGAGTGAAATATCCTGGGGGAAAATGAGGCTACACAGAAGAACATCTCCCAATCATTTAATACTTCACTCATACTGGTACAGTACTGTCATGTGCAAATGAATGCTAACTTACCAACTACTGTACGCACAAATGATGAGCAATGATTAAGTATGTGAAATTTTATATGGTATTCATAAATTACAGTATTATACAGTACAGTATTAGCATTTTCTATGTTACTGGTGGGTTTGATGAAAATTTGTAAATATTATTCCAAGAAAAGCATCCTTCTTTTGATACAAAAAATACATCTTTTAACTAAGATTCAAACTATTTGACAAATATTGACCAATCTAGTTTGATTTGTAATTTTCTTACCAAATTTGTGAACACCACAGGAAGATCATCACATCTTATGTAATTCCTCTCACGACCACAGGGAGATAAAAAAGGAAACTCAGGATATCGTTCTGTATCGTTCATGCGAAGTCGACTGAAGAAAAACTGGAGGAACTTCTTCTCTGAGAAAAACAATACAGTAATTAGGAAAATACTATGATGCAGTAACAAATAATAAACCTGAGGATCTGAAAATTACAAAGTACTGTGGTATGAGCTGGCTTCAAATGTTTAAAAAACGGTGCCTTAAAGTCATAGAAAGTCATCAGAGGTGGAAAATGTTACGAATGCCAGCCTTCAGCATCTCAGCTGTTACCTGAAGCTACACTCGTGCTGCTGGCATTCTCCACACCTCCAAACATTTCTTCACTTCCAAATTTCATATAGGATAGCTTCAAACATAGGTTGGGTGGATATATGAGCAATAGGGGTTGGGTGTAATGGGACTGCCCAGTTTCCTCCATTCTTATGTTCTTAAGTAAATGAGGAGAAATTGGATAATCAGGCAACTGGCTGAGGGACAAGTCTACAGTACAGTACTTGTTTTCATGTGAATGTAGGAGAATGATGACACATTGAAAACTTATTTGTAGACTTAATAACCTTGCAAGTGTTAAGAGAATAATTAAATAAGTACAGTAAGCATACCGATAGTAAATACAGTATAAAGATGCAAAATTTTGGCATACCGGTTATTATTATTACCACAGAAAAAAATTAGGAAATTGGTGAATTTTCCTTCATAACTTCAGTTTTCAATCATGAATCAAAGCTTGGGACAATTTTTTTTAATATTATAAAATTTTTGTAATTCAAAGACTACCTGTACCTCACTGAAAAAAGAATATGAGTGGGAGGGCTCACTGGCTTACAGTCTGGTCCACCCAAAACTTCTTCAAGGCAAGATTTCTAAAGTTATCCTTTACTAGAGAATCAAACTTCAATTCAAGAAACTGCTCTTACAAGGGTTCAGGGATGCCCTTGACTACTATGAAAAAAGGATTCCTGGTAATGCTGAAATTGAAACTGTTTTCCACTGATGTCAGGAAAATATTGATGAAACTCATTCTCCAGAGCTTGAAGGTGATTCATGATTTCAGCTTTAAGGCCATGTTTTGTCATTCAAGAATTTATAAAGACAAGGAAAAGATGCTGTGTTCCTTTGTTTGATGTGATGCTTCCACAGCTGCAGCTTGGCAATGAAAATTCAAATTGTATCCTAATTACCAATGATAGGTGTGTCTACCTTGAAGCTTAAGGTTGAGAACATAAAAGATCTCAAAAATATCTGCAAGGTTAGCAAAGGACAAGTTAAGTTCCTCTGAAATATATGTGGTGAGCCAGTCATTTTTTTCATTTCCCAAAAACATTTTCACCTTTTCTCTTAGCTCATACAAGCAACCCTTTGAAATAATAGTCTTGTGTACAACTCCTAAATTGTGACACAACTGCAAGAACAATCAGGTACTCAGGGCACTAAGTTTTATGTGGTTCACAATTTGATCATGATGGTCAGATATCCTTTGAATTGCATAGGAAGTGGCTTTGCTGCTAAAGTCCCGCAATGTATTATGTAGTGTGCTGAAAAAGCTGAAAGCATCTACTTGACTTTGGTGATGAAGCCAGAGTGAACCAAACATGGCTGGAGCTCCATCACCTATAAACACTAATCAACTTCTCTTTTGATACTTCATTCTCCTGGAAGAAGTTCAAAATAGCAGGGAAAACATCATCAACTTTTGCACTGGTTTCCAACATATCTTCTTCCATGGTCTCATTCCCCATGAATCGTGTGTAAATTAGTACAGTAGGTGGAAGCACTGACCAACATCTGATGTTTCATTGCATTAAATGGCAAAGACTGGGAAAGACTTGAGTTTTTATGTTCTCCACTAATCTTATTTGGTTTCTTGTAACTATTGTAGGTATAAAATTATTACTGTACTGTTTGTACTTCAGTTTTGATGTTTATTATTGGCTTATAATCATTGTGCATAACAAAAAAAATTAATTAAAACATGTTTTGCAACATTTTGTGGGATTTTTTCTTTGGGAATTTATCTCATCTTTTTTAATGGGAGATAGGAAAATATACTTCATTTTATGAAAACGCAATTAACAGAAGATTTTCAAGAAAGGAACCCTTTCATAAATTGGAGAATATCAGTATTTCTGTGAAGTGGGATTTTTAGAGCTGGTTAGGATCAAAACAAAGCAGTGAAACAAACTTGATGTGGAGTGTGATCTCCGTCTGATGTGCACTCAGCATGACATCACCAAATATAGCAAGACTTGTAAAAGAAAGAGCTAGTACCAGCCATCTCATAATAAGAACTTGTTTGTGATACCTCTGAAGTTGATATGTGGGTTAAGAAGAAGAACTGAAAATGATTACTGTATTTAAAAGAGCCAGCAGTACAATCCATTTCATTAATGAGTACATGCTTCGGTTACTTCTACATTTTCTGCAGTGTTCTGCACAGCAGCTAGTTGCATATGGATTAACAAATAAATTTGTAAACGGAAGATGTTTTTGTTTACAGGTAGTTGTTCTACTGATACTGTATCACATTTAATGAAGTGTAATAATATTCAGTACAGTATGCTTAAACATGGTGGGGGTGTCAAGGATGGGCTTGCTAGGGAAGCGTGACACAAAAAAGTTTAAGAACCACCATACAGCACTGTACTAGAACTGCAACAGAAGGACACCAGTACCCACCTTTAAAGCAAGATGTGAAGTTCTTAATTCTTGCATCATCCATAAACAGCTGTAAAATTCCAAGTATAAAAGTCAATGTAATTTTTCATAAAAATATAAGGGATTGGTCTCTGCAAACATAATAAACCTAGTAAATCACCTAATACAGTACAGTATTCTGAGAACTGTCTGGCTGTGGGATTTACCAGAAAAAGTTATTTTAGGATTAGTCTTTCATTTCTACAAATGGATGTGTCCAGAGGGAACCATTATGGTCCTTAAGTCTTTCTGATATATATATATATATATATATATCCTGTATAACGAAGAGGAGAACCAGGGAGAACACAAAGATGTGACCCTGGTCGAGCCAGGGTCATATTATTCAGCATAACAAGTGAGGCCCAACCTAGCAACTTTCTCAAAGGGTTAAGCCATAATGAAGTCTATACTATACTGTATACAAACCGGGCTGCTACCATCTGCCTATCAGCTAGCAACCCCGGGATGAGACAGTTAGCTCACAACTGAACAAAGTGTATCACTTAACTAAGGGCAGCCTCCAAGCATTACTCACAGTTCTTCCCTGGAGAGGATTCATATACAGTAATATCTTCTTACATCTTGTCAGTGCACATAGTGTGTAGAAACAATAAATACAGAAGGCCAAGAAGCGTTTATCTCAAGAATCCACCACTTATGAATTCCAGAATTCAACTACAATGCAATAAATTGTGGTGATAGTAGAAGCTATCACAAACTTCCATACTGGAATATGTTTTAGACAGGATCACAATGGCTTTCTTTTGTTGACTTTTTGTTAAACTTTCAGAAAATCGTCGAACTTTTTGTTGTGCACCGTCACACATGTGTTTAGAACCAACTTGCCAGTTTCCCTCGTTCGACAACTGTGTATGAAGAGTCCTGGTGATCCCAGAGACAGCGGCGCTGCCTTATCTGGTTCACCAAGCGTATCCATACTTGGTAAATCATTTTATTTGTTGGCTCCGCCATGTTGTTGTTATTCCTGCGTGGTCAAAATGTAAACAACAAATGACATTTTCTTACCTTTTTAAAATCAGGAAATTAAACATAATAATGAGTAATCTTGGGAAGAAGAGTAATAATTACTTCATAATAATTTTAACTTTATATTTTAAGTAAAAATTTTAGATCTTGACTTGACTCCGGTAAGTTGTCGTCTGAGTCGTCAGTGCAGACAGTGCGTACCGTTTGATAAGAAGACAACGCTGATGATTCGTGAAAAAATCGACTAGTAATAAAAAAGTCGACAATAGAAATGCTAGTGTGAAGCTGCTGTTAAGTAGGTAGGTACGTTGTTTTGCTGGTTCGTGTGTACTGTACGTGTTGCCAAACTAATTCATTTGAGCATGTGTCATATTATGGAATAAATTATATTTGTGTTTACCTTTACAGTGATTTCTGCTATAACGCGTGTTTTGATAACGCGAATTTGCTCTAACGCGATTTATGAATTAGGAGCGATATTTGTATAACGCACGCTTGTTTGCTATAACTTGTGATTTTTGCTTACTATTTCTCCAATTTTGTGGTATTAACTGTGAATATGGTAAAGAAGAATATCAACAAGAAGCGTTCTGGTGATAGAATTCCCGGTGATGATCGTAAAAGAAAGGATATAACACTTGAAGAGAAGCTCGATTTTATCAACCTCAAAATCACCCTTCTCCCCCATCAAGTAAAGTGTTACATTTACTGTATGATTTCATTATTAGATATGAATGTAACATTTATTTAGACTGTGCTATCCTTTGTGTTAGGCTAACTACTAAATTTTTTCGATTTCGAGTAATCTGCACCTAACCCTATTTTCTCCATAAGCCCTGTTATTTCTATTCGCGATTTTCTATAACACGATATTTTGCAAGAACACAATTATCGCGTTATAGCAGAACCTTTACTCTAAATGTTCTCTAGGGTTTTATTTTGTTCTGTTGCAGATGTATATGGATTTATAAGTTGAAGAAAGCCTTGATTACTGAAGGTGTTTGATCTCGTACGACAGTGGGCAATATTATTAGTTGGAAAAATTGAAATCTTACGTACAGTAATAATAAATGTACAGCATTCATCCTCATTGGGATATTATCATAATTAATATTAAAGAAGGAAAGAAGAAATTTTTCATCATCTAAAGAATTTTTTGCTGCTGTTTCTTAATACAATTGAGTATGATATGGAATAGTGTTATTATTAATGTCTAGGAAAGGTAATTACTTACGACTTCACAGCGGCTGATTTTTCCTATAAGTCGAATTTAAAAACGCTTAAATTTCAGTGTGTTTTATAGTAGACACTGTTGTGGCTATGGAAATTGTGTTAAAAAGGTGGTTATTTCTAAATTAAACCTAACCTAACTTTGGTTGATAAGAAAAACCAGCAGAAGTTTTGTTAGAAGACCTCACCAACCAAACCAAAGAAAATGGGTCCGACTAATTACCCAAATGTACCCAAATGTAGCCGCAATGAAGTCAAATAATGGTCCTAGAAAAATAAATCGGACTGCCAATCACTTCTCGACTAGTTTTTTGGTGTCACAAAGTCACGAAAAATTGGTAAACTTACTTTAATCTGAGTTAATAGATCGAGTGCACGTACCTAACCTAACCTAACCTCGACTAGTATTGGTGTCACGAAGTCACAAAAAATTGGTAAAACTTAATTTAATCTGAGTTAATAGATCAAGTGTATGTACCTAACCTAACTAAAAATCAAAGCATTTGCACAACACACGGTGGGTGGAGGTGCCTGTGTCAGCCAATTTATTACCCAGTTTTATGATACAATTCTCACCATGCCTTGATGGTCGACGTAATAGAAGTATTCCCTCACTCTTGTTTCTGGTGACTGTCCCTGCTCATAGTCTACCTTGTGCAGACTGGAGCACCATCGTTGAGTTGACCTGGAGTGAGAAGTAATAAACAGTCTAGTAACACCTTTACTAAACACTTTCCTCAACATGTTTATATCATGTAAGTTAACGGACCGTTGATAATAGTTAGTTCTCACCTCATGAGAAACTATTACTTTATATTTTCTATATAGTTTATATAAGGATTTATACATTTTCACATATATATTTATTTATATATTTTATTTGACTATTGGTGGAATTTTAAAAATGTTTGATCTTTTAGGTAACAGAAGGTTTTAATTTGACCAAGTCTTCATGAACGCCATAATAAACACAGAAACTAAACTGTGATTGGTCGACTCACCTCTTGCCTCCCGCGGGTCAGCCAATGAGAACAATGGTTCAGTCTGACCCTGGCAGTGGTGGTGTTGACGCTGTGACAGGCTCTCCTCATCACTGGTGGGACCTGAGTTGAATTATAATTAACCAATGTGTTGTTTGAGAGTGTAGATGACCTCCGACGAGTCAGGTGATGGCGCCATTGACCTAAAGTGACCAGAAGGTTGAAAAACTCGAGTTACCAGGTGGTTGTTTACACTTGGTCAAGGCCCAGCTGATTGAAGTCGTTGTCGTCCAAGACCTGTTTTTGAATGGAGGATTATTTCTTGGGGCCAATATGAACCCTAATCGGTCTCCTAACTTATCAAAACGATCATGGAAAATACGTGAGTATTGTTTTTTACTTATTGTTCAACGTGAAAATGGTTATAGGAGGTGAATCCATTGACCCCAAAACGTTACTTTGTTTCAGTTATTATTCTTGGCACTTAAAGGTTTTACACAATGACAGCTTTTATTTAAGAGTGAAAACCGTGTACCACAATATGTATGTTATCGTATTGTTTATTTGGTTTTGTCAGTAAAACCTCATAAAATACGAGTCAGTCTTGTTAGTCTCTTGATTTTAGGACGCTTGTATTTTCTCCTTATGTTTTAAGTGTTAATATCTTGTGTACTGTATGTTTTTTTATGACATGGATATTAAACACCCCGGCTTATTTCCCTTCAAGGTTAATCAAGGTTATATTAACTTAACCAAACCAAATCTAACAACTAAATTTACTCGGTTATTTTTCGTTATCCACCCATCACCTTTTTTCACATGAAAAATAAAGAAATTCGCTAGTGTTCTTGCTATTTTAGATGATTCTGACATTTATATTTGGGGCAAATCACTTATTTTTTATTATTATTTTTTTAGTTAGGTTGTCTGGTTGGTTCCTTTGGTATGAGAATAGGTTAAGTTGTTTGGTTCCTATGGTATGAGAATAGGTTATTTTTGGTGTGTTTTATTCAAATTTGACCTCCATTTTTGTGTAAATTACCGGTTTGTGTTAAAATGAAAATTTAAATTTTTTGCAATAAATGTTAATTTGCCCAAAATATGAAGGTCAGATTTGAGTGATACACCAAAAATATAACCTATTTTCATACCATTGAAACCAACCAACCTAACCTAACCTATTATCATACCAAAGGAACCAACCAACCAACCTAGATGATTCTGACAGTTTCTTTGGGGCAAATAACCTTTTTTTCTTTCCCCACCCCCTTACCACTCCAACAATGTAAGGGGTCACGTTGATAATGCAGGGTTTTGGGTGTGTGTGTGGGAGGGGGGGGCTGAAAACGAGTGATTTTCACCACAAATAAATGTCAGAATCATCTAAGACACCAAGAAAACTAGCGAAAAAATAAATTTTTCATGGGGGAAAAAGGTTAAAACTAAACTACGTCTATGTACTAACCAAACCTTACCTGACATAACCTAGCCTAGCCTGACCTGACCTGACCTGACCTAATCTAACAGGCCGTGTCCTACTTAGACGGGGGACTTCACCCCCTGAAGCCCCCAATGACGCCGTGTTCATTAGCCAGGGGGATGAAGTCACTGCTAGTGTAATACTGAAAATTTACCATTACCTAATCAACCTAACCCAAACTCAGTGTAATGTAATTTCCATCCACCCATCAAATTAGGACTCAGAAAAATTTTTGATTATTGCAACAAATAAATCGCGAATGTCGCGTTTATTTTTGGACTGCCCTGCTAAATTCAAGTATATTCTTTCATTTTTCAAAGAGAGCTATTAAATGGTAAGAGAAAACAAATCGTAAAAAGGTGGTGGGTGGTTAACCAAAAATTATGATTTTTTCTCCAGTAAAAACTGGTAAGTGTCCCAGGCAACAAACACTGTACATTGACTACAGTGATTATGGTAAAGGTGGAGAACAGGGTTAGCAGGAGAAATAACTTATGGAATTTAACCAAAATTTCTGGCGATACTATTTAAATGATGCTAAGCACGAAAGTGGGAACAAGAAGGCACAGAACTTAACAAAACCTAAACTAACCAACCTAACCAAAGAATACTACCTCACCTTAATAGCCAGCTGGAACCCCTGGTATATTAAGTACAAAGAACTATAATTTCTGAGAATAGCACTACCACCAGAAGGAGTTTTTCAATTTCATTCACTTTTTCCACAGATGCTCTTATGATCATAATAAGTATTTTAAGAGAGGTGAGGATTTTTTGTTTTAGTTACGTAGTGGATATTTTGCCATAATTGGCTGCGCTCCTACTAATGCTATTTTACCGTGAGTGCACTCTGGCTAAGTACTTTTTGTTTAATGTGAAGGGGGATCTGCCCCAATGGCTAGGAAGTTAGGTGAGGTTAGGTAGGTTTCTTTGGTTGGTTAGGTTAGGTTTTAGTAAATGTTACCTCTTTTATAATGACAAGAACATCGTGTAAAAAATTAACAAAATCGAACAACAACTGGTTAGGTATGTTTATAGCTACACAACGATTGACTCACGGCGAAAGAAATGCCAAATGCCGCCAGGGTCACGATCAAATAGTTATCACTTTGTTCACCGGTAATGGGTGATCAGTCAATCAGAGTACACTCACAGTAAAAAAGCATTAGTAGGAACTTAGCGGGTCACGGGAAAATATCCACTGCCTTATAATAATAAGTATTTTTTAATCTTTAAAAATTTTCTCTATCTACAATCATAAATCACCTTTAGTGGGCAGGGCATGTAGGATGAGGGAAAGTGTGAGGAAAAACACGGTGAAAAACTGATAATTTGACACTAAAATGATGTCTCTACATGCTTTGTATGTGAAGAAATTACCTGTTTACTGTAAATACTACTCCGAAAAATCTGTTGAGGCACTGCGTGTTGTCTTTGTTTACAACTGAATTGCTCAGTCGAACTATTCTGTCACGTCCACAAAAATGTAAAATTACACTGTTGCACTTCTAAAAAGTTGCTCTCACTAGTACTAGATATCAAAATAAGTACTTTCTGTTTAATATGGGGGGGTCCACCCCTCTGCTAGGAAGTTAGGTAGGATTCTTTGGTTGATTAGGTCAGGTTCTATTGCGTTTTGTCCATTGTCGTATAATTTTTATTACTTACTGTCATCCAAAGTACATTTGTGGAAAAAATTAATATAATCGAACAACTCCGAAAGAACTTACTATTTGATCAGGGTTGTTTGATTTAAATTAAGTTGATTTAAATCATTGATTTAAATTCCAATTTGATTTTTACACGTAAATGTAAAGGGAAGGATGAAAAGGCTAAATAAAACTGCATATATAGCCTACTGTATTGTTAATCAGACTCGGAAACAAAATATCATTTGCACTTATTACAGAAGCTTACATAATTAAACACAAGGAACTTTCACTTTGCAACGTTTACTGTTCAGTGTTCTCACAACAAAAATAACAATATTTGCTCTGTAACTGAAACAACAAACACAAATTTCAGATGAGTATCAACACATTTCTTATTTTAGCCTACTTGTTCCCATATATTGTACTTATGCTTCAAACAAGTAGGAGTTTTAGGTAAATATTAAAAGCACTGATAACTGCTTAGCTGTGAACATGTGACTAAGGGCTACTGTACACTGGTATACAGTAGGTCTTGCATGGTGTAACAGGTTGGCAGTGGATGATGCAATACTCATCTTTGATAATGTAATACTGTATACAAGTTCTCCTCGACTTACGACCTACTCGACTTACGACCGCTGCAGTCGTATAAAATATTTTTCAAATTACGTATTTTCGAGTCCCGACGCTAGTGATCACGCTGTGTTGCAATAATAATTTTTGTGGATTTTGGTTAATACATACTTGAATAAAATAAAAAATCCGATTTAAATTAAATGAATCAGATTTGTTTATTTAAAAAAAATCTACAACCCTGTGATATTTGGTACCAATGAAAGCAACTACAATATCCTGAAGTGGCATGTTTTTTTTTTTGTTTTTTTTTCAGTTGTTGCACTCATTCAGTGTAAACGCCTTCTGAGCATTTAAAGGTTAATCAGACTCTTCACGTTAAACTCGAACGTTATAATTTGGTCAAACCTGTTGAATACAATTCATTTTAGTATTTCAAATAAATCATACATAGGCAATCATACATGAATGCTTAATCCAATAGTGTATATAATTACATAACAATCATAGCTATGTAATTATTCTAATCTTAACACTTATAATGATACTTAATTTACCATATTTCTATGTTGTCACAATGATAACCGATGCAATGGACACAGTCTACCTGTGTAAACTTAAGTACAGGTTAAACTTACGTGTTGAAAGTCTCAAGAGAAACAGGTTTGGTGTTGACTTTATGGTGGGGATAGCTACATTGGCAGTGCCCTGCCCAGTGTCACATGCCCAGCCCTGGCTGGCCGACTTTGCTGCGTTAGGCGTTTATACGCAAACAAGCTCCCCTTACTACCACCCAACACCCCGACCTCCTCTGGGTCTCTCCATCTCCACCATCTCAATACTCTATATACGGGCAGGCACGCCCAATAAACATGATATGACTTACAGCAGCGGTTCCCAATTACTTTTGGCCATTACCCCAATTTTTCCAAAATCATGCTTAGCAACAAGCTCATTACCCCACAACATTTTGTTATTATTAGTTACATGCTAATGTGCAATAAATATAACTTTATTAGGTTGGACTTTCCTTTATTTTATAGAACAATAATGACATAAATGCAGTACCGGTAATTGCAATTACTCTTTCTGTTG